AGGACAGATGCGCACGCGACACGACACGACACGACACGCGTGCGGCGTGTGTGTCGTCGCCAAGCCAACGACGACGACGAGAATCCCGCTCGCTGCTAGTGCGGCGGAATGGCGATTGGGTCCTTTGGCTAGGCGGGCTGGGGGCTGTGCAGGGGCCTGCCCGCGAGGCGGCGGCGTGTCACAGAAGCCAAGCCACGCCCCCTGACGTTGCCCTCCAAGAACAACGGCGCACTGGACCGTGTTGGTGTGGATGGGCCTCCGCCGCCGCCGGGCCCGCGTGGTTCCCGTGCGTGCGTGCGTGTAGCGCATGACGCTGCATTACGCCTGGGGCCTACGCGGGTAGGGCCTGCCTTTCGGGGAAACGAACTCGCCGCGCCCGTGCGCTCATGCGTGCGCGGTCCGCAGCGGCGCGATCCCTTGGAGGCTTCAGGTCCGCAGGCTCTGCGCAGTTGGCTTCCTGAGTATGGCAGCACAATTATGCGAGATCTGTAATGTGTCCTGCTTGTTCACTTTGATGCGACCTACCCTGAAGCGCCGAAGAAACCGATGATAAAGGAAAGCGCCTGCATCTCATCAACTTCGAGCTCGCAAGCAAGCAAGCAAAATCTGAAGATGCGACACACAGGGTTCATATGCCCCACTCAAGGCTCCGTTGTATACAATATTACTTTCTCCGGCGTGATCCCGCAGGCCTTCAGCTTCAACCTCTGATAAGGAGTATGGACCGCCGCTCTGGGCGGATGCCCTGTACTGCGACCGCAACTTGCTTCTCGGGCCGAGCACTTCGACGGTACACCCGAATAACACCGCGCAGGGTCCGAGGATCCTCAACAACGCGTTTCGCGAGGTTCCTCGTCGGTGACACGCTCGCGGCGCACGATCGCGAGATGACCTCACGGCGGGGCTCGTCGAATTCGAACTTTTCGAGCATTCGCTCTCGCGGATCAGCGACATAGGCTTTCCCGGACACGCTGGTGACCCTGCAACGTTCCTGGGCCCTCGCAAACGTGGCTCGCTGAACCTTCGCTCCTGCCGCATATGTGGCCTCGCGCACATGCAAGTAGGCACGGGCCCAGTTTCCTAGGATGCTCGGGCGGCATGCATCCGAGGACGCGATCTGCCGCCGAACGGCCGCGGTTGGAAGCCACGCAAACCTTGCGTTGCGTAAGCACCACACCGGGGACCGCACCATGGTATCGTACACTGCACTGCTAGCCGTGCTCCAGCTGGTGACGTCTGCGACGCTTGTTCACGCACAGTGCACTCCGCACGGCGCACTCGCGTTCCGCTCGCCCGTCACCACAGCCTCCGGCCTCGCCGCGACACCCATCTTTGCCGGCCTCGCGACCCCGCGCGGCATCGTGTTCGACGGCGCAGGGGCCCTCCTTGTCGTCGAGCGTGGACTCGGCGTCACCGCGTTTGTCGAAGATGCGCCCGGCTGCGACGGCTGGCTCCGGTCGGTCGTCCTGCAGAACGCGAACCTGACGCAGGGCATACAGGTCGACGGCGCGCGGCTGTACGTCAGCACGTCTGGCGAGGTGCTCCGGTTCGCGTACGACACCGCTGCGCGGCGGGTCACCGGCGAGCCCGAGGTCGTCGTGAATGGTGTCCCGCCCGACGGAGGTGCGTCTGTCCACTGAACGCTGCCGGAACCTGTTGTGCTGAGACGAGTTTAGAACTCACCACCCGCCCGATCCTCCTCTTCCCGAGCACCAACGCGACCCACATCCTCGTCTCCAGCGCACCCGCGGCGAACATCGACCCCTCCGCGCGGAACGCGTCCTCGGGGCGTTCGCAGGTGCGGCGCTTCGCCCTGCCCTCCACTCGCAGTGCGTCACCCCAGGACTTCTTCGCGGGCACGCTCCTCGCGTTCGGGATCCGCAACCCCGCAGGGCTCGCCTTCCTCCCGCCGCACTCGTCGAACCTGTGGGTCGTTGAGAACGGTGCGAGCATCGACAACACGACGGGCCTCACGCCCACGTTCGTGAACGACAACCCGGCCGACGAGCTCGAGTTCGTCGACGCCGCCGCCGCAGAACCTGGGAGTGTCAACCGGTTCTACGGCTTCCCGGACTGCACGACGCTGTGGAACCCGAACGCAGACCCTGTCGGGGACCCGCAGTTCCTCGGCTTCAAGACAGGTGAACAGTTCAGTTTGGAGCTTGAGCCGCAGAGAGGCGACGCCTTCTGCCAGAACCCAGAGGATAACGTGCCGCCTAGACTGTCTTTCCAGGTGAGCAGCTCGCTGCCTGCTATCTCTTGACATGAGGACTTCGACGCTAACTGCTTTCTTTATAGGCACACTCCGTCCCGCTGGACATCAAGTTTTTCCTCCCCGCCGGCACGGAGCACGACGCGACGCCGGCCTTGCCTGCGTCCTGGGCCGGCGACGCGTTCGTGTCCTTCCACGGCAGCTTTGACCGGACGCCGCCCACGGGTTACGGGGTCGTCAGGCAAGTGTCCCTCGTGTCGGAGATGTCTTGCGTGGTGCACTGACGACGACGCTCGACTCACCAGGGTGCCGTTCAGCGGGCTACAGCCCTCGGCGCCGCCTTCGTCGCAGACCGGGTACACCTTCCTCGCACAGGCGACCAACCTCACCAGCTGCCCCGGCACGTGCATCCGTCCGGTCGGCCTCGCCTTCGCGGACGACGGACGGCTGTTCGTGAGCAGCGACTCTAGCGGCGAGTTGTTCGTCATCTCGAAAATGACTTGATCGTGTCATGCGCCGAAGTTGAATTATGCAGGATTTACTGTACAAGTATTGAGGTGACAATGTCCAAGGAGAAGTAAACAAGAGGCTGCGATAGCGAGACTACACTCTAGGCAAGGTCAGAAGTCGACGTTGGGCTTGGAGAGCCCGTGGAATTGCATTCTGTCAAGGATAAAACTAATAGGCGTGGCGTAAGTAATATCTGACGGATCTGCGAAGCCAGTACCGCCAGTAAGGACGCCGCCAATGCGTCCTTGGCCGTCGACGATGACAGAGCCTGAGTCGCCCGCGAGCGAGAAGGGGCCATGCTTGGAGTCGCACGGGATAATCGTCCATTCTTTTGAAGTCCCGTAAACGCCATACTTAGAGTAGCCTTCGCGGACATAGGAGCAGATTTCGTTGGCACGGCCAATGGTTAGGCCAGTGGCGCGGCCACGCTTAATGACCATGAGGCAGCGGTCGTTGTTTTCGTCCGATGAAGCTGGGTGCTTCATTTCTTCGTCGTGAATGATTCCCTTGAGCTTCAAAAGATAATCGTCCGGGTACTCAAATGATTTGAGATTTG